TACTGCGAACAATGGTCCACGTCTCGCGTCCTTGCATTGAATTGTCCATAACAATCATTCCTTACAGTAGCCACTGCTGATCATGGTAATTATCATAGTCCTGATAGTTGAACAATGCGCTTTATCATTTAATATCTGATAAAGGGACGGGTTGGATTGTTACCGGGTCAAAAATCTCGCTAAGAAAATTTTCAGGGAACTTTCAATCCCTCAGATGCTTGGTTTTAAACCCCTCAGATGCTTGGTTTTAAACCCCTCAGATGTCAAATCGTGCCATCTACCTCTCATTTTTACATATTTAGATAAGAAAAGACCATCAGAAACAAAAAGAAATGGATACCTCTTAGATACATTATGAGCCAATCGCTACCCCTAAGAAATGACTTTTGATATCTATCAGAAAAAACTACCCATCCCCCTTTTTCAGATAATAAATGCAATGCGGATTTTATGTAACCTCCTTCTATACTAAATGTGCAAGTCTCAAACACTTACTGTACTCCTTGATTTGCTATACAAATATATTGTATGATAAAATCAATTTCCTTAATATACCTAATAGGTCATAATTTTACTTGATTGGAAGTTCTTAAACCGAAAATCGGAGCGTAATATATGATACATGCATATACTTTTGACATCGGATGACCGTGAGGGCATCCCGGTGTATTACAGCTGTGGCCTAGATTTCCATTACGTAACTTTCGTGTTAGGATTGTAACCGATCTAAAAACATGATAAATACGCGGACATTATCGAGTGCAAAATAACATTCCTTATCGCTTGTTATAAATTCATTTTTTCAATGGATACTCCTTAAAATATTTTTTTAGAACATAAATTAATAATATGAAAGTGTTTTTTCGTTAGAAATATATATATAATTAAAAAATCTTTAATATCTATGCACACGTACAGAAAATGTGTGTTAACGCATGCGGAAGAATATCTCAAGAACGTTTGCAATCTCCCATGAGGAGTTATCGGTCCTCGCTCTCTCTCAAGGACCGATAACTCTGCATGGGAGATTGAAAGTTTGGCGGGAAAATATGAATGCCTACTCAAATCCAATCTATTAGAAAAATCGAATTATTACAGAAGAGTACCCACCATGCATTTGCAATGCACTATTATTAATATTATAATAGTAGAATAGAATGATATACAAATGGACGAAAATTATATATACATGTAACTGTAATATACAAATATTGATATAATATATAACAACAAACCATAGTATACCGATTTGTATTACTTCAATATCATATTTATTACGGTGAGGTTGAATTCCCTGTCATTTATTTATCATCCACGCAAGAAAAAAAAATATATATCTGTACATTAACCTCACTTTCAGGTATAGAGATGTGATTTTTTTTTCTGAGACAAGTGCTTGTGACCATGCACAAGAACTTGCAGTCATCCGATGTTCAGTACTTCAGTACTTTGATTATAATTATCACTCCAAACATTGACTTGCAAGCACCCCCCCCCCCCCCCCCCCCCCCCTTTCCTCTTCCCCACCTCCTCGATCTTTTTTCAAAATGCTGGATCCGCTACTGATCAGTCTAATTTTTATACGACCGCAAAAAAAAATTTGCGGTAGTATATTGGTTTTACGTTGGCGTCGTCGTCGTCGTCGTCCGAAGACACATTGGTTTTCGCACAATAACTTTAGTTTAAGTGAATGGATCTCTATGAAATTTAAATATAAGGTTTATAACCACAAAAGGAAGGTTGGGATTGATTTTGGGGGTTATGGTCCCAACATTTTAGGAATAAGGGGCCAAAAGGGGCCCAAATAAGCATTTTTCTAGTTTCATGACAATAACTTGTGGAACAGTGTATGGATCTCTCTGAAATTATACCACAAGTTTCCATACCACAAAGGGATGGTTAGGATTGGCTTTGGGGGATTATGGCTCAAACCGTTTGGAAATTAGGGGCAAAAAAGTGAGAAAAAACAAGGGTGTCCTGGTTAATGGACAATTACTTAAGTACAAATTACAGTGTAAGGGAGGTAATTCAAAAACTACTTTGAATTACCTCCCTTACACTGCTTTTAAATTATGTATAAAAAAAATTTGTATTGTCTTTAGGTGATTAGCTGTCAATTCATTTTTAGAAGTTACTATTTTAATAATTTTTAAAATGCTGATTAATGTATTTAAATGGGTTATTATGGTTGCAAACTCCATGGAAATTTGAATTGAAATTATGACCATGACTGAGGGAAAGAATTTTTTTTTGGAAAAAGAGGGGGGGGGGGGGGGGGGGGGGGGAGGTTAAGAAAAAAATTTCCTCCTCAAGATTTCAGAAATCAAAAAGAAAATCCTTCAAAATATATTTAAATATTTTTAAAAAGGGGGGTGGGGAGGTCAATTCTCAACAGCATAGTGTATTGCACAAAAGCAAAAAATTGAATATAAATTCAAATCATATAACCAGTTCTAAGTTCTTTGACTACAGTTGTTCTGTGTCAGAAACCTATATTATGTTTCAAATATTGAATTACAATCCAAATTCAGACCTGTATCAAGCGCGAATATTGTGTCCGTTTTTGCCTCAACTGTTCAGGGTTGGACCTCTGCGGTCGTATCCAGCTGCGCTCGGCGAAGCAATTTATTTTTTATGCTGTTGTTATTCCAATTAGATCTAAACGGAAGTAGCGAGTAAATTGATCTGTCTATTCTTATTGTCACCTCACAAAATCTTATCTGGCACGTATGCACAATTTTATTTCAACCTAGGCAGGGGCTTCGATCATTTTTAGTAGGCCTGGTGAGCAGCTGTGACATCCAATACCCACACCTTTAAATTTCATATATTTTGAATAACAAATGATCCAATCAGCAACCTTGTCATGTATTTCATTTGCAATTCTTGACCTTATAAAATACCATGAAACTAGAAATAGTGACCCAGCGGCTCATTCCTACCACCCATTACATAGTAAGTACCCCCTTCTAGATTTCAACCGTAATTTCGGAAAATAAATTACATTAAGATTTGAAGTAAGTTATTTGCACAATTGCAAGAAAATATGCATTATGTTGAAGAACTTGCTATCTATAGATAGCATGTGTACATTTCAATATCCACCTCGATAATATATTAAAGTAATTGGCGTTACTTTTCAAATGTGACAATATCTAATATTTGATTATAACGTTACGTTACCTTATTTTTTTTAATCTTTATTCAATTATTTAACATTTATATACAATATATATATATTACATATTACACAATGAAAATTAAAGTCAGGATCTATATCCTTGATTGAGGTAGTAGGATCACGTTTAATAACAGTAACCTTAATACACCGTGCAATGTCAAATTGAATGTATTTTCAAACTTAATGTATTAGATACACATTGAGGGTGTCAAATAGACGTACGGTGACCAATAGTTGTTAAATTCTGTGTCATTTTGTCTCTGGTGGAGAGTTGTGTCATTGGCAATCATACCACACCTACTTATTTTTGTATCTTGTAATTCACACTAAGACATTATTGTCCACTGTGTTATTGTCAATGCAGAATGATAGTTTTCAATAATTTAGGAGGGGTCTTTCAGATATTTGATCATGTGTTATTGAAAAGCATGATAATTGAAGACATCCAATTTCATCTAACTACTTCTTAGTGTAAATTAACATACAGTTATGGCAAGCCGTTCTCGTCAAAACTATGTTTAAACCATTTTTCGAAAAATTTACACACCGAGAATTTAAAAAAAAAACACCGAGATTAAAAAACCTAAAAACACACACTGAGAATTAAAATTTACACACTGAGATTTCATAAAAACGCACTGAGATTACAAAAAATGAAAAACACACACTGAGAATTGAAAATTACACAATGAGATTTCCAAAAGACACACTGAGATGAAATAAACTGAAAAACACACACTGAGAATTTGAAATTACACACTGAGAATTTAAAATTACACACTGAGATTTGTGCGCACTTTTTATGCGCACATATCTAATTAGCTTAATTAATCTGAATCTATTACAAGCTTAAAACAACTAGGGGACAGAACTCGTTAGTCCTTCAATTTGGCGCTAAATGTTTTATAAAAAACATTAAAAATACAACGTATAGAAAAACTACGTTATTAAAGACCAATACAAGAAGAAAAATACCCACTTACTCTCATTACAAAATATAACCAAATGGTGAAAAACTTTATTAAAATTATAAGAAAACATTGGAACAATCTGCAAAAATACAAACAATGCAGTAATTTTTTTCCCCAAGTGCCTATTATAGCATATATATATATATATACGTAACAAAAATATAAAAAAATACCTTGCGAAATCAAGGTAACAGTTGAAAGACTTTTGAAAAGGGCCATGCTTAAACAGTTTTAAGCAAAAATCCCGATGTACTGTTAGTAATAATCTGAATTATAGGCAAAAAAACTTATGAATACGAGTTAGCAAAAAAATTTGTTAAGTCTTGAAATTTATTACGAATGTTGGTTGTAGGAACCGCATTTCATTATAATGACAAGAGTTCGGGAGACCAAGATATTAATCTGTTGAATTATTCATCTCATGAATATTCATTAGTAATTTGCATATTAATCTCAGTGTGTATTTTTGAAATCTCATTGTGTAATTAACAATTCTCAGTGTGTGTTTTTCAATTTATTTCATCTCAGTGTGTCTTTTTAAAATCTCAGTGTGTAATTTTAAATTCTCAGTGTGTGTTTTTCATATTTTTAAATCTCAGTGTGTAATTATAAAATCTCAGTGTATAATTTCGATTTCTCAGTGTGTAATTTCAATTTCTCAGTGTGTTATTTAAGGTTCTTAAATCTCAGTGTGATTTTTTAAATTCACAGTGTGTAATTTTTTCGAAAAAATGGTTTAAACATAGTTTTGACGAGAACGGCTTGCCATTTACAGTTGAATTGTTGTGAAAGTTCTTATAAATAGACATGCCTGGCTGAAGTCAATAATCAACTTTTAACATCCTGTACTGTAATTTCCCTTTACTTGGCCTCTGAAATTTTTAGATAAGATTCCCAAGGTCAGAAGGTGGCCTGGATAAACAATAAATATTGGTCGTTGGTGTGTTCTAGAGAAAATAGTACAGTAAGTTTTTGTTTGTAATGATTTTTTTACAACTGGCACTTATACACATAAAATTGATTGACTAGTAATCTTTTCAGAATACACAATTGTATTTTATCATCGTGATTTAACCATACACATAGTCACATTTATCTAAAATTGTAATATATTCGTTACACATTGAATTGTAGTTGTAGTTGTTATCTTGTACATGTTCAAATCATTTATCATGAATGAAAACAAGGTGCTTACTGACCTTTGACATTTATGTTCGTCAAGAAGTAGGCGAGTATCATGTATTTATTTTTTGTTTGTTTTATATTTTATGGTTTTTCCAAGTTTTTTTTACTGAGAATGTTTGCTCTCACTGACGAATACAGATATCTACGTTCTCGTTATACTTTCCTTTTTGATATAGTAAGAGAGGCACATAAAGGGCTTTTTTCAGTTAATGCTCCAAAAGTCACTTGCAGTATGAATTTATTGATCAGATATTTAGATATTTGTAATAATATTGACAATATTCCTATTGATATAAACATTTGTCAATCATTGTGATGTGGGAAGTCTCTAGTGTATTTTCGAATTTTATTGAGTTGTTACGATATACATAATAAACTGCATTAATATTCAGATTACATGTATATTTGGGTTATCAGATCAGTGTAGTGGTTGGTATAATTTCATTACTAATTTTATGTATTATTCCAGCTTAGTTCCCGTGTTTGCTTTAATTAACTGATTTCCCGAGAGGAGGTTTTAATCGTGATATTCACATTATCTCTATTAAATTCCCTTCCTTTGGAGACAAGTTTTATTTAAAGTGAAATTAAAGTCCACTAGTCCACAAGTTCACCAGCTGTCGACATTTAATAGCCTATCTCATTAACAAGAATGTGTTCTGCACCGGATGTACATAAACTAGTCCTAAAACATATGACTTCACATTCCTGTTCAATTTTTAACGTTTTTATACTGATATTTTCTTTTATGAAGGCGAAGTGGCACATTGATAGTAAAAACAAAAAAATAGTAAAGGAAAAATAAAAGATAGCAAAATAAGTAAAAAGAAAATATCAGAAATAAATAGAATTAGAAAATAATGACCCCGAGGTCAACATATACATGACCAGTTTAAAATCGTATTACTCAATAGGAATAAGAATACCATTTTATTCCAAATAAGGTCCAACAGGGCCTAAACACTTGTCATGACAAAAGCATTTATAATTTGGGTTTTTGAAGTAGACCGTAATCTTCTGTCCTTAATGTTTACAATCAGGTAAGATACATTTTTACATGTATAATGAAGTTTGTTAACCTTCCCTAGTTTTTGTTTATAAAGGTAAAGATAAAGATATTTAAATTCAATGTTTTCAAAAAAAGTGGACCACAAACACAACAAATATGAAGCTCTGAAAGAGGACCTGTTTAACCTACATGTACCACAGGTCTGTATTTAATTTGATCAGATTGGTTCAATTAATTTCTTAGCATACATACCAATATTATCACCTTAGCAATGGCATAGATACACTGAGATACAGAAGAATACGGACAGATTACTATTATATAAAAAGATTTACGGTCTAGTTCCATGTATAAAAAAAAGCTATTTACGTCTATTAGGTTAAAAAGGCGGATCCTTTTCATCTTAAGCTTATTTTGATATGCAAGTATCCACCCAAGGCTTAACACTACAGAATTTTCCTCGTCTTACAATAGAAAACTGGAACAACAATTGTGTTATAATGTACCTTTTATGCTTATTTGAATCAATGCTATGCTTTCATGACAAAACAGAGTTTGATAATATTTAAAAGTTGTCTAGAATCAATATTTTTAAGTATCAATAGGGCTGACAGAAATGGTAATTGACACCATAAAAGATAGTTTAGATGGGGTCCCTTATTTCTTTATTCTTTAACATTTTAGACCATTTTTCTCTATTCTGTATTTATTTTTGTCCATAATTTTCCATTTTATTATATTGAGCATCGAATTATTCTCTATTCTATAGTTTTTGCCTATTTTTTTCTATTCTTTATTTTTACCCATTATTCTCTATTCTGTAAACCACATCAACATGATCAAGACCCTCATAAAAAATAGTTTCATTCATATGATAAAAAAAAAATTAATGCAACTTATATCCATGATATCCGACCTATAATTGCTTACTTTTAACACATTGTGACTTGGATGGAGAGTTGTCTCATTGGCACTCATACCAGGGGGGGGGGGTCATGCCACATCTTCTTATTTCTATTTACAACTTTTTCTATATCATTTTCGATCAATTAGTTTTTGTTTTACTATCAAATGTACGGTAGAAAAGGTAAATAAACGATAGTGATAATTTTTTAGGGAATATAGAGTGGGGCGCACATATTCGCCGGGGACAGAATTTCGCCGTTTTATGATTTTGAGGTGTAAAAACTTCACAGGATGGCTGAAATGGAAGAAATATGCCGGTAAATTATATTTTTATAATAAATATGATTATTTTTTAAACTTAGACAAAATTTAGGCACTTACCACAAAGGACCGGAAAACGGACAACGATTTTCGGCCAATTTCCTGAATGAAAAACACGATTTTAAAGAAGTATTTCTTAGTAATTCTTTGACTGATTGCCCTAAATTTCAATTCTTTACACCTTTGAAATGTCTGCTATTCATCTATAATGAAATTGATTTGATAAATATTGTTTAAAGCTGCAGTTATTTGGTTTTAAATAGATGTGTAAAAACGGCGAATATGTGTCCCCCAATGACAAAACATCAGGAAATATCAAATAGCCTTTAATCTAACTTTTCAGATGAATTTTTTCAAAGAAACACGTTTTCAAGCTAGGAATATTTTGCTTTTGATGTTATCTTCATATAGAAATATCAGTATACTTCAAAAACATAAAGACCTGAACATAAACTGCAGAAAACATGGAAAATTATGGCGAAAATGAGCACCCCACTCTACATTCCAGGGGGGAAATAAAATGTCATTACAAAATAAATGGGATTATTTGATTTTGCCATGTATTTAGGGACTTTCCGATTGAATTTTCCTCGAAGTTCAGTATTTTTGTGATTTTACTTTTTATTAACTTCATGTTCATAGTACACTAAACAAAATCTGACATGAATAGTGTATAAAGGTTAGTCATCTGTCATGTATGATAACATTGTACTTCATGTGATCACGTGTATGGAGGTTAGGAATCTCCTTGTTGTGATCGATGCTGTAAAACAGAGAAAGGTTAGCTATCATTGTTATGTCGCACAACTTTAATCAGATATAGTGCATTCTTTGGTCAGGCGAAATGCAGGACTGCCAAGTCTCACGGTTTTGCATTTAGCGTGAGATTCACGCATTTTACTTTGATCTATACACCTTATCGCTATTTGGAAAGCTGTCCCGCTTGACCCGAGAATCTGTCCCGCTTGAACTTTTGACGTATTACAACAATCACTTATCCATTGTGGCGTCAGATATTTTCTATTATGACATCAAAATTTTACGGGAACGTTTGTGACGTCCAGTAATGGCGGACAAATAGCGATAAGGTGTATGGTTTTTTCTCTTAATTTGATCTTTACGATTTTGGCCAAATCTCACGCATTTGCATTATTAAAAGTTGGCAGAACTGAAAATGTCGTAAAGTAAAACGAATACTTTGTCTGGGTGTTTATCTTACAGTTATTTGAATACAATGGAATGATAAGGAGGCAAAACGGGAATTGGGGTGGGGCAATTTCATGAATTTGTCAAACGAAACATCTTCTTCCGACGCTCTTATGATATTGAATCGTTATATATAAACTGATTATTTGTCGTTGCATGATAATATTTTCAATGAATAAAACTAGTTGTACAATACATGCTATTTATTTAACATGTTTAAAACTGAAGTTATATAATATTTATGGGATATATATAAAATTGTCCACGCAAGTAGTGATCAGTAGTTAAGCATGGTTGCAATATTTTACGCGTCAGTAACAAGTAGCTTAGCATCAATGGATTTACTTGCATGCTTGAATATTATATTATGTACCCCAACCGTGTGAAAACATAAAAAAGTAAGAGGTGTATGTAACGCTAGATTAGTGCAGTTGACATCATGGGGATGTCTCAGTTCAGTATACAAAAATCATGAAAATAAAAACGTTTTAAAATAAAATAAAAAATGGTTTTTTTTTTATTTTTTATTTGTATTTGACATTCAATTTTACTAAATTACCAAGTGGAACGTTACACGTGCAACAAATAGAGCAGAAACTGCTTACCCTCTGCTGAGTCTCGAATCCTGATTTTAAGTGGGATTCGGGGTGCTTTAAAATACTTTAGTTTCCCGCGTAATATTTTGTGAACTGCATGTTGTTTGTTTGTTCGTCTTCTGGCGACGGGGTTGTCTGTCTTTCTTCGACTTTAGGTTTTTGATTACCCCCCCCCCCCCCCCCCCCCCCCCCCCCCCCTTTTGACTATCAAATCCCGTATCTTGTATTGCTAAAGTGAATAAAGTGAAGGACTGGAGAGATGTTACTTGTTATGTTAAGAAAATCATAGTTGTATACATAAGTTAACCAAATTACCTAGTTTTACTGTTTAGATTGCTGAAATTGATATTGACTTTTTAGACGATAATCAGTTATTCTTTTTATCTTCACCAAATGAGTTCCAATCAAAAAGAAAATGACATTATTTGAAGAACATAAAGTACACAATCGGATAGTAACATTCGTGAAATCACGTGCATGTGAATGGGATCATAATGTTTATTTTCAAAGTTTGAATCATCAACATGATCAATTGATATTTGTAGGAAGGATAAATATAATGCTTTTCACACAGTTGTCCTCAATCCTCCCCAGCATGGAAGGCCTGGGATAGTGATACACACACAACATAAGAACATAAAAGTCAATTAGAAAGTTTTGTTAAATGCTGTCTCATTGACGTATCCCAAAACCTCTTTCAATCTTATCTCTGTTTACATTTCCAGTTTTGTTCTTGATCAA